ACACTACTGCTTTCACTTGTATACTTGCCCTTCCCCCTTCACCCTCACTGCTCTCACATAGCTGTGTATATTCCCAAACAGTCTGCTTTTACCGGTTCTCACGGTCTCCTCGCTTGCAGAATTCTTATATTCTCTTCTACCCTGAAGATGGAGGCGATACGTTCGTCCGAAACGTCGGTTAACACCACTTATACACGGTGCCAAATCCCAGAAGACTGCTTTCTTCATAGTCACTGTTCCTTATGTTGAATGTTTTGCTTGCTTTCTTACTCATGGAGCTGGAGTCTCCTGAGCAGCCCCGTGAAACTCCCAACATGGCAACATGGCCGCCATGATACCTAGGTGCAATGCTGCTGCCATCTCTACGCAGCTTACATGAACTAAATTTAAAATGGCCTCCAGGGCAGAGAGCACAATCGTTAAGAAGGTACGCTACCTCAGGAACTATTTTGAGTGCTCCCCCTCGTCCCCCTTCCAATGCTTTTTTCGCTACTAGCAATAAATACTCTTACAACCAGATCTCTTGTACTGCAGAGTCTCTTTTCTTCAGGCTCTCCCACCAATATCCTATATGCATTCTTCGCCTCCCCCATTCGTGCTACATGCCCTGCCAAACTCATCCTCCTCGACTTGTGATAGTGAACACAGTTCAAAAATATAAATAGGTTGGTGGGGAAATAAATACTTTTACAACCCAACCTATTTCTATTTTTGAACTGTGTTCAATATCACTAGTCGAAGAGGATGAGGTTGGTAGGGAATATAGCACGAATGTGGAGGCGAGGAATGCATATAGGATATTGATGAGAACGCCAGAAGGAAAGAGACTGCTGGGAAGACCAAGGTGTAGGTGGGTAGACAATATTAAAATGTATCCTAGTGAGATCGGATGGTATGGATTGGATTGATCTGGCTCAGGACAGGGACCAGTGGAGGGCTCTTGTGAACACAGTAATGAACCTTCGGAGTCTACAAACGGCTGGAAGATTCTTGAGTGGCTGCACAATTGGCAGCTTCTCAAGAAGGGCTCAGCTCCATAAGTAAGTTTAACATCACTTCGCCCATATCCTTTGGGTTGGATTTGAGTGAAGTTCTATTAAACTTGGTCCCCCACCCCCTTTCCAAAAAAAAAAAAGTAACACTGACTTCATGTTTGTTTCTATTTTCACTGGGCATAGTAAGCATAATCCTTATACATAAGTAACACACAGATTTAAATTCATGCGTAAATGTCGACTCTCGTTTCACAACATCTAATCAAAGTCCATATTTACTAATTAATCTAATCAATTGCACGACATACCTCAATGGCGTACACATATCTTAACAAGCTATGCAGTCTTACTGAGCCAACACTCAAAACCTTGAACGGAAATTTAAGATCCTCTGATTGGCTCACACTTATTCGATTCGATTAATTGCGATAGGTGTATTATGATCGATTCAGTCATTTCCAGACTATCTAGTTCATGCAGGTGAGTAGAGATGGGTGTTCTGCATGTTTCCCTTCACCCTATTCCAGTTACATCACCCTGTTCTTGAGGAGCCGCCAATTCTGCAGTTACTCAATTTCCCAGCATTTTATGGAACCCGAAGGTTCAATACCGTGTTCACAAGAGGTCTCCACTCGTCCATATCATGAGCCAGATCAATCCAATCAATCCCATCCCATCCTATATCTCTAAGATCCATTTTAATATTGTCCACCCACCTACGCCTTGGTCTTACCAGTGATCTCTTTCCTTTTGATTTTCCCACCAATATCCTATATGCATTCCTCGTCTCTCCCATTCGTGCTACATGCCCTGCCCACCTCATCCTTGACTTGGTCATTCTAATTATACTTGGAGAAGAGTACAAGTTATGAAGAATGAAGAATTATGCAAAGCATAATAATTAACGTTTTACGTGATGAATTTCTTTCATGAAAGTGTTCAAGAATTGATTGGTACTGTGTTATATAAATACGTGTATCATATTCTTATAAGAACATGCTGTGCACATACCCTTTTTGTGGCGGGCCTTCAATCGCACTGGATGTGTCCTCCAGGTGTTGTGTAAATTTTTTGCGAAATTCTAACCGATATTAATCTGGTGACAGTCGTAGAAGCTTATGATTAGGGCCCGGATTTTTATGACCTAAAAACTATAAATATATGCATGCACTTATGATTCAAAATTATGTCAAATATGACCTAAAAAGTGTAAAATATGACCTTAAATATTAAATGGGACATAAAATTTCACAATTTTAATTACCACTTTTACTAGAGTTTAAGAATAAAGATGATGAATATATGATAGTAGGTCCTACTTACCAAATTAGCCCTATTATGTCTCTGAAGGAAAGAAAACTGATGGAATTTCGACATTTCGTACTGGATTAAACCATTCATTGTTTTCTTTTTAATACTGATATTTGCGTTCATATTTTAGACAAACACTGGTGCACATGGTATGAACACTAACTTAACTCTGTTATCTAAAAACACCATTTAAAAGAACCCAAGCTATTCACGTCTCAATTTTCACTGAGTTATTCACGTCTCAATTTTCACTGTTACAATTGCAATTTATAACTACATGCATTTTCAAATTTTCAAATTTGAAAGATCGCCGATTATCACTAAGGATAGTTTTGTATTTGGAAAAACTTCGTTCCACATCACATGATGTGACAGGAGCATATTTGAAGAATGTCAAGTCGTTTGGTGACAGTTCTGTATCATCTTCGAATGTTGCTAGTTTACCGGAAAGTATATCTGCAATCTTGCATAATGTTGAATAACCAGCATTCCGATGAAGAACACTTTCTATTTTGGTTTTAATCCTGTCACTTATTTCACCACGAGTTCGGTTTAGTTCATTCTCAATGCTCTTTACAGTGTCCAACGCGTCACAGAGTTCAGTCCCTACAAATTCCAGGCGAGTTATTGCACCTGAAATTGAACAGAAGTTTGACTTTATGTATGCCAGATTTTGTGCTAGAGTGGTAGAGAATAAGTCCTTGACAGCTTTAATTGATGTTGACTCACTGCTGTCAAAGCCATTAAACATTTTCTCAATGGCTGTGTAATTTTCACAATAATATGCCACAGCATCCAACCATGTACCCCACCGTGTGACGACAGGCTGTGGAGGAAGTGGCAGTAGAGGAGCTTCTTGTTTAAATTTCTGCACTCGAAGAGGGGCCTTGATGAATATTTTCTTTCCGTTTGAAACTAGCCTATCTACATCAGGAAAATGTCCTCGAACTTCTTCAGCCACTCTATGCAATGCATGAGCGAGGCAAGTAATATGGACCATTTTCGGGTAGAGGATTCGAAGTCCTTTGGCAGCCTTCTTCATGTATGGAGCGGCATCTGTTACTAGGAGAAGGACATTATTTCGCTGTATTCCATTTGGCCACAACAACTTCATGGAATTATCAAATAGGACAGCTATAGTCGAATGATTTGCTCTTTCGAGAACTTCACAGTCAAGAAGAAATCTCTCTCCAGGTTGATCTTGTTTCAGGGTCCCAACTATAACATTCGCAATATACCGCCCATCTACGTCAGAAGTCTCGTCCAAGGAAACCCATATCTTGTTGTCAGCAACAGATGTTCGAATCTTATTTAACATATCTTCATAACATGTAGAGAGATAATTCTTTCTTAACGTTGATTCACTTTGGATAGGATGACTAGTGTATGTCTCCAAAAATTGTCTGAAGTGCTGATTATGCAATTTCTCTAATGGAATATTCGAAGATACCATCCACTGACACAAATCCTTCGAAAATTCCGACCCATTGTTCGTTGAAGAAGGTGAAGAAGAAGAAGAAGAAGAAGAAGAAGAAGAATTAGTGGAACTGTTTTTAAACAACAAACTTTGTCTGCTATCCTTTGTAGATAATCTGCTTAAACATTTACCATGTTTAAAAGTTTTACAATGCTGCTGCACAGTAAATCGCTTTTCTGCCGTAACTTTCACGCCACACAACTTACAATAAAATATCTTGCCATCGGTACTAAACACTTTTTCACCAAACTCCTGTACAAAACTACGCAACTTTGCGCTCCTTGAACTACATGTACTCACTTTAGGCATTGTAAAGTCAAACTGAAGTCTTAAAACGCCCTCCACATATATAAATAGAATACTTCTAAGCCCTCCAAGAAAGAATGGGATGTATATACCTTATAGTAAGACGGAGTACAATAGGAGAATACCCGTTACACTTGCCTCCCTCCTGCCTCGACTGGGAAAGGCCAGCTTGACAGGTCATAAATGCTGCATTTCACAAATTTTCGCCTTTGTAACTGCAACTACAGTCCAGTCAAAAATGTGGTTTTTAATACGAACTTCATGTACTTGAACTCTATTCCACATTGAAGCAACAGTCCAGCCTGAAATTTATTTTGTAATACTAAACATTATGGAGCCGAAATTTTACATTATATCAAAGAACTGTTTCTAAAATGACAAAAATATGACCTTATTTCAAAATTATGCCAAAATATGCTGTAAAACCAATAAAACTCTAAAATATGCATTTATATGCACAATAAAAACGACATAATTTCAGTAAGAATGACTGGAAACATGCATAATTACATTTAAAAATAGGAATAAACCCTAGAAAAAAAATATGACATGTCATAGAAATCCGGGCCCTACTTATGATCACTTACTGCCTTCGTAAAACATTCAACAATGGTTCAAAGTCCACGTGTTCTTTCAGGACAAAATTCTGCTCGTTATAAATTTGATTTCTACCAGTACATGGTTTTCTAAAATAGATAGATATCTTGAACGTAGTATTGTGAGTTTAACATGAAATTTCAACTTTAATAGTGAAAAGAAGACGTTGCCCTAAGATCATTATTTCACTGCTTTCTGTATACACGCACCAATCGCGCTTATATTCGACGCACATAACGCAGACGTAGCCATCTTGAATTTCGTATTTAGTGCTCAGCTGTGTTTAGTGCAAGAGCGAGATTTTGATGTTGTTGATTATCTGTCAGTGATGTGGTTGATATACCATGGATTTATATAAGTACCATATGTATTTGAAAGAGTAAGTGTAAGCAGTATTTAGTGCCATAATCATGTGAACTTGTAGTTCTACGTTATACTTTTATTTATTTACCAAAGTTATTTGGCGGGATGCGGGTAGAGGTAGGCCTCATATAAAGTGTACGAAAATCGTGAGCTTTGAGAAAGCGTATGATCTAATGAGCTGAGGGTTACGAACTATGCATTAAAAGATGTTACGACGAATATTTTGAATGAATGTGGAATACAAGTGTTTAAATTTAAATAGTACAGCGTTGTTCCTCATGTCAGTTTTAACCCTGTTAATGTTAAAGTTAATTTTGACGATTCAGAGAAAGATTATTACAGTGGAATGTTGCGTACCGCCAATTTGTTATGCTGGAAAACAACCGAATAGGCAAGTGTAGTTCAAGATCACATATCTTTCCAAGTTACTCTAAAGTAAAGGTGAGTAAACAAAGGAGAATTAAGGTGGTTGGAGTTAGTGTTGCATGTTTAGAATATTAAAGGATGTGCACGCATCATCTGAAAAGTGGAATGGTGTTCGAGACCCGGTTGACTTCGTTGACATTGGACAAAACCAATGTTGGAACAATTTTCTTTGGCATTTTTTTTATCGTTTTCCACTGATATTAGTCAGCAGCAGCAGTTGATGCAGCTTCATAAATACTATGTGAATATAATGGCTGCTTCTTTCTTTAACAAACTGTTGTTATTTGGTACTAACATTATAAATACATTTTCTAATTATACTCACTGAAACTAAACATATCCAGATCATTTAGAATCTAACATTTCATAGTGGTCTTTTCAAAATATCATGGTTTGAATTTAAAGATTCTAAACATGTTCAGGGACATCATGAGTATGGTGACACATCCAGGAAGTAGAGAATGTGTCACAAGTATTGTTTTACTATGGGAAAATGAGGGTGTTCTTTTTATTCATATCATTTTAGTTTATGAAGTGAACAAATAATTCCAGATTCATGAAGATGACTAATTACAAGGAAAGCATCCTTTTTGAGCTTTGAAATGCCAGGTGTTTCATACTGATCAGTTGAAGAAAGTGGAGAGTGAAACATTTGAGAATATCAGTACTGTAATTTAAATTTCTGTTGTATAAGTGCTGTTTGTTTGCTCAATATACAGAACTATAATTTTGCCTGTGGTACTGTATGGGTGTGAAACTTGGCCTCTGACAGTAAGGGAGGAACATAGACTGAGGGTGTTTGAGAACAGGGTGTTGAGCAGAATATTTGGACCAAAGAGGGATGAAGCGACAGGAGGTTGGAGAAGACTGCATAATGAGGCGCTTCATAACTTGTACTCTTCTCCAAGTATAATTAGAATGATCAAGTTAAGGAGGATGAGGTGGGCAGGGCATGTAGCATGAATGGGGGAGAAAAGGAATGCATATAGGATATCGATGGGAAAGCTGGAAGGAAAGAGACCACTGGAAAGGCCAAGGCGTAGGTGCGTGGACAATATTAAAATGAATCTTAGAGAGATAGAATGGGATGGTATGGATTGGATTGATCTGGCTCATGATAAGGACCAGTGGAGGGCTGTTGTGATCATGGTAATGAACCTTCGTGTTTCATAAAATGCTGGGAAATTCTTGAGTAGCTGCAGATATGGCTTCTCCTTAAGAAGGTCTCAGCTGCATAAGTAAGTAAGTTGTATATGTGCCTGTTGTAAATGTCACATGATTCCAGATTTAACAAATACCCATTGTCTTGATAGAATTTTTCAGGACAGGTAACCATGATTTTAAATATCATTGAATTTAATGTTAAGTGAAATAGTCTTGTAATTTGGAATTTCATTCATTCTTCAAGAGGCACCCTTCAAAATATTTAATTGTACCCAGCATATAAGGATTAGCAAGTTATAAAGCAGCAGCACTGAAAAGTCACAGTCATTCTTAAATCTTAAAGCTGAAAGAGAGATAATTTGAAACTATAGTCACACTAACCTTTCCTATGAATTATTTATATTGTTGTTCTCATTGTTGAATTTGGTGTACTTGGCCAACTAGTTAATTGGATCAAAATTATGGCTATGTAGCATGTTACTATTATTTACTTTACATCATTGCAGCTGTAGGACATTACTTATCTGTACTTCATTAGTTTATCAGTTTTCACAGTGAGCAACAGTGGCAGTTTGGTATACATTTGTTTTATTATAAATCACTTAATATTCATATGAGACATTACTTGTAAAATCACAGTCCGTAACTTGACTTCAGATTTCAGTGAAAGTTGGTGGGCTTCTAGACTCCATAGGAAATAGTATTCTTGTAAAATTTGATCTCTCTATGTGTTGAACTTTCATGGAGCAGATGTGTGAAAATCATAAAAAATTGCACTGCTTGGCACACCACCCCAACTAAAAATTCATAGTATTTGTTGACTACAAGGTACAGAGCATTATTGGGCTTGTTCAAAAACTAATTAAGGACTTGTTTCACAGATGTATGACTTTTGGTTTCAGTGTCACCTGACCATCAGGTTCACATAAAAGTTGACTTTTTTTGCAGAAAGAAATTGATTCATAATGCTTTAGTCAAACATGTAGCAAGGCTTATTCTTGGATGGCCGTGGGATCTCTTGTAATAAAATCATGTCATTGTAGACTTTCACATCTTCATGTGTTCTTGTCCCTTTACAGTCATCAATATTCTCTTAGACTTTTTAGCAGTTTCACATGCCGCAAAAGAATGCAGTGACAGACGCTGTCATTGTATTCTTTTGCAGCCATTGTAGTTTTTGCGTATCATATTTCTCCCGTGTATGTGTTACTAGTGCAGCCTTCCTGCATTCTAGTTGTGAGATAAAAACTAAACAATGACGTGCATGACGAGCATGATAAGTGAACATTGCAGTGGCCTTCCCAAAAACAAAAGGAAAATTGCCTGATGATGGCCCATATACAGCTGAAACGTGTTGTAAATTGAGAAGAAACATGTAAAAGTAGAGACATTTTAGTGATTGATAATCACTTTTAGTGTCTTAATGACATTTTATGAATTTAACAACATTGTAAAGTATTAAAGTTACACTTTTTGTGAGAAACATATTTTAGATGTCTTTTATATGTTAAAATTATTGTTGCATTATTGATGGGTGCTTTAATAATAAGGATAATGCCTCAGTGCAACGGGATGCTGAAATGTAATATTATGACCATTTAAAGGAGGACATACTGCTTTTTGGGGGAATGTAAGAAACGTTCTTTCATGGATGATAAAAAATGTCATTTCTAAGCAGTGAGTGTAAGGTGTGTGACAAGTACTGGAAGAAATTTTACCTATTACAGTTTGAATCTAAAAATTTGTTGTTAGAGCAAGACTCCATGGACGAAACTGATAATTGCAATGAAATAAACATATACAGTACAGGTACAGTTGTGTAGACATTAAATGAAAGCCTTCAGAGTGTAGATGAATTGCTGAAAATAATAGGTGAAACAAAATATACTGTGAGAGAAGTTTCTAAAATAGAAAGTGCTGTAAGAAAAAGATCTTTGGAATTCTATCAGATGAAAGAACATCAGCTTCGCCTGTAGGTTCTGATTCTATAATACTAGAATAACTGAAAGAGCAGTTCAAAGAAGCAACAGTTACCATTTTGACTTCTTCCATGGGACTAGAGTTTGAGGAGAATATAGGATAGTTATTAACTTCATGGAGCACTTCACAGCATTATGTTTCAAGGCAAGAACTGCAGTTCATATGGGGAAATCTGTTTATGATTTGTCAGCAGTGGGCAGCAGTTACCAGTGCCAATAGCTGTTATGTTCTCAGTTACAGACTAAGTGAGCAGTGTTTTATGGTGTGGTATACTGTAAAACAAAATGTATTTTTGTGTGAAAAATTATAAAATAAAGATCTGCAAGATACTGGTGAAAATTCAGACAAGTATTGTGATGGAAGAGTTCCCACTAAACAAACAATAGTTTGGTGAATAAACTTAGATCAACAGGACTGCTAATAGACAAGAAACAAAAACATAAGCTCTGAGTGCTTTCTGAGAATAAGTTAGATAACATAGGAGCCAGACTTGACCATAAACCTAGTGAATCACATCTGACTCAAAGGACCAAGGTGGCAGAGTCAGGTACAAGAAGGGCAGCACAGTCACGAAAGCTTAGACCCTACAGTGGAGTGGTAATCTGTGCCTTCCAGCCAAGCGGAGGAGTTCATTTTTTCAGTTTCTGCAGTCATTGAAGGTGAATCGGTCCACAGTGGACATTCTTTTCTGCTGAAGCATAGTTACACTTACAGGGATACATAAATATGTAAAATAATAGTCACTGGAGTTCACGGAGTCCACGTCTCACCCACGAAGTCCTGCTTCATCAGTGAAAGTTGGTGTCTGGTGTGCTGTAAATGCAAGGATTGTTGAACCTGTATTTTTTTAATGAAACATTTAATTGTGGTGAAAGATATGTACAGGTGATTTTCAGGCAATTCCCTTCAAAGTTAACAGAAGCAGGAAAACTGTTCAGCTGATTTTAGCAATGTTCAGCAACTGCCCACACTGCACATATCCCTATGCAGACTTTGTGTTGTGCCGTCGGGGACAGGATTATTAGCTGTGGTGTTTCATCAGCCCATTCACCTGACCTTAATTCATGTGATTTTTTTCTTCTGGGTTGTTTGAACAACAGGGTGTACAAGAGCAACAGAAGAATAACTGAAAAAATTGTGAATATTCTGCAGGACAATTTAGAGAAAGAACTGGAACCTCTTCTGCTGGTGTGAGGAATGTGTATGTGTAGAGGGACAGAATTTTAGCACCATGTGTGACTACTTCCATATATTGTCAGGCATCAAAGGTTAGTGATTTGACAACAAAATTCATATCTGCCTCAACAGCCAGCAGTGCACTGGTTGCCTTGAACCAGTTAATAAAATTAAGAATGTCCCTGTTGAAGAATAATCTCCAGGTACCTCTAGTCAATGGCAGAGCTAAACAGCTGTAATGAGTATGTAATTTTAGCATCACCAAATACATAGCCTGGAAGAAGTCTAGACCCAGAAGTAGCCTACACAGTTGAGAAATTCTTTTAAAAAAAAAAAGGGCTGTGACAGTTAAAGTTTGTGGGGGGAGGGGCCTACAGAATAACGTAGAAGATACTGTATTAATCTGTCTGAAGGATATTTTGAATGTAAGGAGCCACAGCCTGGTCTCAAGGGTGGATTCTCAAAATTTGCATCTTTACAGTTCAAAAACAGTGTGCAAGGTGGAACAAGTGGACCTTTTGGCAGGTGGCAAGCAGAACAGTCGGCTAGCCAGAATTTTGGATTATATAGGAAACAGGAGCAAAATGGAAAAATGGAACTCAGTTCCTCTTGGTATGTCCATAGGACAGAATGCAACCGCTTGGCTCTCATGGGATCACGAAGCAAACCAGTAGGAGACAGGAACAGGCGTTTAGAATGGCCCTGAAAAGGGGCAGTTTGCTGGTCTAAGAAAAAGGTCAAGGGAAATATGTAAACGTGTGGTGGGCAGGGAACCGCCACATAAGTGAGACAAGTCGAGTGAGTTGTAGGCATGCAGTGGGGAATGTGGGAGCAGAGGTGGCAGATGGGAGCCAGGACCCCAAGTTCGAGGCCCCAAATGACCAGTGTGTTGGTCTGGGAAAGGAGGGGAGAGAATGTAGAGGCTCGGAGGGCAGAGAACCGATGCTTATGGAAGAGAAGTCGTGTGTGTGTCTCTCTCTCTCTCTCAGGCATGCTGTAAAGGATGAAGGAGCAGAAGTACCATATGGAAGCCGGGGCATGAGGGTTGTGGATGGTGAGTGCTCAGAGAGGGCATAGTTTATGCCCTGATAAGGGAGGTGTGCACGGACCTGTGTGGCCCTGTGGAGAACCCAGATTATCATTTGATGAAGACTTCCAGTGACCTTTCAGGGAGCAGATGAAACGTTTCCATGACTTGCTTAGACAGAAGCAATCCTTCGTGGTCATATTGTTGGGCTGGAGCTCAACTCATTTACCTCCTTGAAGTGTGATCCGAACATCTGGGTTTGGTGAAGAAGATGGCAATGGCAGTGTGGTGTAGTTAGATGTGGTGCCCCAAGTTGTTACTGTGCTCCGCCACAGCTGACTTGTCTGAATATTCTAGACGGATATTTTGCTGGTGTCCTAGAACATGTGCTCTGCCATGGCTCAGTTGCCTACATGATCTAGCCAGTTATGGTGCCAGTGGTCTATAACATCTGGACATGTCAGCCATGGCGGAGCACAGTGTCTACTTACGGCAACACACTCAGCAGCACCACACTAACACCCTCTCAACCAAACCCAAGATACATGGATCGCATCATAACCACATCTTTACAAACTCTCCCCTGTGTTTTCCTAGTCTAGCATAATGACCATTTTGGGCCCTAAGCCTCCACCCTGGGATCCAGTCTTCCCTCACTACCTCTGCTCCCTCATCCCCCAGCATGCCTATGACTCACTTGACTTGTCCCCTTTATGTGTCGGCTCTCTGCCCACCACACCCTTACACTTTTTCACCATTCGTTTTTCCCTGACCAGCAAAACCACCCCTTTTCAGTGCCATCCTAAATTCATGTTCTTGGCTTATATTGGCTTGCTTTGTAGTTACGTGAAAGCCAAGGGGTTTCATTCTATCGTATAGACGAGACCACGAGAACTGAGTTCCATTTATCCATTTCCCTCTTGTTTCCTGTATAATTCGAAATTCTGGCTAGCCGGTTGCTCTACTTGACACCTGCTTTCATGTTGGTATCTTGGTCGACTTATTCATCGACCTTAAAGATGAAGGCGATGTTCCTCTGAAACCTCAGTTGACTTTCAATGGATTACACGCTCTTCTTTCATGCTATTTTGTGGTCCCAGGTTTGGTAATAAAATGTAAAAGGTGGAGAGTGGCCTGATGAGTTTCCATGATGATACCTTATATTGTATCTTGGTGTAGAAATGAACAGTTCTGTAAAAAGTCGAGTTAAATAACAGCTTCATGGTCTGGCAGAAGGGCGTCATTCATTTCTTGAAATATGAAGGTATGATTTTACTGTATTAGAATGAATTGTTGCTTGATGTGCTGTGCGTCAGATTTTGGTCAATGAATTCTCCAACTATATTTATCATGGGTAAAATTTCCATATGACCATCAGGAACCCATTGTGTGTAAACTGTACTGTTTTCCAGATTAAAATCATTAGCCTGAATTATACTTCAATAACAGTATGCAGTTGACTCTGTCCTGGGCAGTTTTAAAATCTCTGAAGCATACCCACCAAATTTTTAGATAGATGGTGTTTTTTAAATTCTGAGTGAAATTGTTTGCAGTTGACAGCCAGTAGTCTTTTCTGTTCACAAATTCCTTTTGAGAGTGTGGCTTTGACTGATATGTATTCTTTCTTTCCTGAACACATTACCTTCATAACGTCTTACTTTGTGTACAGCTTCTTCCGAGAGTGTTTTCCTCAGATTCTTTGCCAGCTGATCTACAATGCATTGTTTCTTCTTTGATATATTTAGAACCTGCCTGTTAGAAGGTTTTGCACTTTTTTTCCTATACTCCATCCATTAAAGTAGAAAGATTACACAGGTCTGCAAAAATAATTTTTTTTTCAGCTGCATGGAATATTTTTGGTAAACTTTATGTTTTCTAGGATGCTGAATCCAAAAATGACCTCAATTTCCCCCTATCACGTATGGTTTTTTGGAAAATAATAGGGGTTTACAATAAAAAATCATAACAGCAATGAAAAAAATCACTAATTTTATAACATTGAACTAAACATATTATTTCTCATAATTAAACAAAAAATCATTTACGATATATTTAACATTCTGTGTTCAGTCTTTTTGCCTGTGAAACCTTTTCTTCTTCTCTTTGATGCTTCTCCGAACACGCTTTCGCTTTCCATTTTCCATTTCCCGCTTGATCATCCAGCAGTAGTCAGCTAGCATATTCGCATTCCATCTTCCTTGGTAGCGTCTTTTGATATCACGGGCATCCTGGTGAAATCGTTCACCCTGCTCTTCACTATAGGATCCCAAGTTTTCGGGAAAATAGTCGACATGGGAGTGTAAGAAATGAACTTTTAAGCTCATCTTGCAACCTTGAGCTTTATATGCAGCCAACATGCGTTGTACATTGGTTTTGTAGAGAGGGTCTTTAGTGTTCCCCAAAAACTTGTGCACTACGTCTTTGAAGGAGTCCCATGCTTCTTTTTCTTTTTCTCCCATTTCCTTCTTTGGAGAAAAACTGAGTGAATTCCTTCTCTCGGTGCCTGTACCACGAGAATGATGTTCCAGGTGACAGCAAGTTTTTATTTTTTAGTCTTGACCCTAGCAATTCGGCTGCATCTTTGGAAAGGCCTAAATCTCTAACTAAGTCATTGAGCTCACTCTGAGAAAAAGGTTGGGGTCCCTCATCAACAGAAAAATCTGAGCTGGATTCATCCTGGTGTGGTAATATAGTTCTGTCCTTCGAATCACTCTGTATATCATCCAAACTGGAAGGTGGGAGGGGAACTGGTATTTCAGAGCTATGAGGCACTGGACGAATAGCTGAATTAAGGTTTGGGTAAGATATTTTATTTTTATTTTTTGTATTAAAGCCTTTCACA